TTCTAATGTGTATTTTTATATAATACATATAATATTGAAGGCCAAGTCAATAGCATTTATTAAACTGTACTCACATTAACATATTTCTGGGGTTATTTGAAAACACAGAGTTTAAACTATAGGCTACCACAGGGAGAGAATGCCTAGCCCAGAGTCGAACCCAGGGCACAAGAGCTCAGGTCACAAGAGCCTGCTATTCACTGTGTTAATGTTTAAATTTTTAAAGTATTTGAAATAGTGGAATTTGTTAAATCTCGGTCTTACCTTTTCAGATAAAGATAAGGCTACTGAATCTATTTTATTGTGTGGCACACTGAGAACAGCAGTAGTTTGTCCAGCTATTGGAGTCAAAGATAAAGAGAACAACTGTATCTTCTTTGTCAGGTGCAAGATGGGGAACTTCCTTTGGTTTTGTGCTGAACTGCTTTTTCTGCTTTCCCTCTCACAAGCACTTGAGACAGGTAAGTGTGGGACAGCTCTGTGCCACTGAGTTCACTTGAACCCAGGATGAGTTACAAATACAGAGTTAAGGCAACATCAGAAGGAGACAGTGAAGAAAACACATGCAAGAAAAGAAATGAGAGATATAGGGTGATGGGGTTTTTAATTTACTGTAACAATCAGATACAGCTGTTTGCTACTGCTTGGTCATTACCCATAAAGATTATCAGAAGTATTTAATAACATGGAATTCTAATTGAATTAGTATGCCTTGTAACCTTAACCAAGCACAATAGTCCATCTGACTGACTGTCTGACAGTAGATAGTTCTGATGGAAGTTGATGCAATCTGTAGCCTATTCCAGAAGTACATGGTCCAAACTGTGATACATCCTGAATATGACACCAGTCAAAACCACAGGTCACAAGTACTTCACAAACATGAGCAGATTTGCATACAGTATGCACTAATACACATTTGCATAGCTACTCAATGCAGAAGTACACACATGCACAATGGGTGTTAATCAAAAAGTCAATGTCCACTGTGAAGCCATAGAGGTATGCCCATTAGTTTTGGTGGAGGATGTGGACATAGGTTGTGGTCTGGGAAACAGTACACTATTTTTAGCAGTTAAGTGATAGCGGAAGTGAAAAAAATAGTGTGATTTTATTTACAGTGAAGGAAAAATCTAAACCCACAACAACCAAACCAAAATCTAAGTTCTTTTCTGAACTCCTACCTGAACTTCTTGATGTCCCTAACAAACAGGCATGAGCAGTTAAACTGCTTACTGGCCTCAAACAAAACTGGCCCACTAACGTATCTTCCCAAAAACCTCTGCTTCCTGCTTTCAATCACCTGACCGATTGTCTTCCTGGAGCTGGTCAGGTGACTGAGGGCAGCAGCACATTCAGTCACACCACAGTACATGACACTTCTACATGTACAACATGAACACACCTTCCTGCTCTTTTTCTCTGCAGGGCAGGTTAAGGTTGTGGTCCCATCATCCTCCATGCTTGCCATTAAGGGCAGCAGCATTGTCCTCCCCTGTCACCTCGAACCCGTGACCAGTGCTGCAGGCATGGAGGTGAGGTGGTTCAAGGGCAGCTTCACAGACTTTCTCTACCTGCACAAGAATGGGAAGGAGACAGTAGGATCGGTCTATA